TGCTGGTCGAGGTCCAGGTGGACCAATTTCGCAGTCAGCTATTGCCCCCAGTAAACGCGACGAAGAGAAGGCGGAAGCGATACCCCCGGAGGAAGACACCGATACATTTGCTGACACGATGGCTATCTCTAGCGACAGTTCGTCAAGCGAGAAAGGAAAGATGAAGAGGCGGATACCAGAGGAAGAGATCTACCAGGAGGGCCATGAAACCGTCTTTGAAGACAAAGAAGGGAACGTTCTCGGCGTAAGAGACAGTCATGGCGAGCACGGCATCGAGAGGCAAAGGCACGATAGTGAGAGGGCACAAGAGCTCATGCGTCAAAAGCATGTTCAGGGTGGCGTGTCACAAGACGAGCACGGCGGTGCCCTTGAAGAAGCACCTAGCCGGATCGAGAACGCTATTGAGCACCCTCACAAAACCTGGCGCAATCGAATGCAAAGCTACACAGGCCATGGTCACAAGGACAAGGCTGCGGAACCTCCAAAGGCGGAGAAATCGGCACAAAAGTCCGGAAAGCACGGCCCCGCTCTTGCTTACCAATATGGTAATACCATTATTGTCGAAGACGAGGATGGTGAGGTCTTAAAGAAGTATGACATACCAGCTGCCCCGAAGAAAGGAAAGGATGGTCGTCCTGCAAACCCTCGCGGCCAGTCCATGGTGGAGACGTCAAGCCGTGCTGTACAGAGTTTGAAGCGGATGGGAACTCACATGGGCGTGCCCGCGGGGCAACAAGCTGGAGCATCCGGCACTCAAGCCGCAAATAACAAAAAGAAGCAGAAGGCAGCGGAATTGGCGGCGAAAGAGCAGGAAGATGACGACCTACTTCGCTTCACCGTGACAGCTGGTGGTCGTCGCATGAGCAAGCTTGAGTTTATTCAGCAAATGTCGCAAATGAACCCCAAAGACAGGGCGAAGTTTGTGCAAGCAAGCGATGTTCCTGAAGCAGTCAAGGATGCCGCTCATCAGGACGCCAAGGATCACACTGCAGAACAGCGCCGTCGGGCAGCTTCAGTGCAAGCGAACGTTCCCCCGGTTGTTGGTGAAGAGGGAGAGGCAGAACTTCACAAGATCGAGTCGCCAGCAGCCAGGGAGGAGGGTCACGCACGTGGCCCCGAAGGGTTGACGCTGGTGGACAGTAACGACGAGCATGTACCATTCCACTCTGTACGCCAGGATCTCGAGGACCGACCTAATGACCAGGGTGGCGAGACCGCGGCACAACGCCGACGTCGCCTAGCTGCAGAGAATATTCCGGCTGAAACTTCAGGCGGTTCCGCTATTCCACCATCACATGAGCCTGAAGAAGGGTTTGAAGGCGAAACAGCAGCGGAGCGAAGGCGTCGTCTGGGCGCTCTCGGTGTCGGCAAAGACGATACTCCCGAGTCTGACTCCGAAGATGAGGAGACTGGTGACCCAATGGAGACTGGCCGTGGTACACACTCACGTGCCGCTGAGCCTAGCCAGAAGACACTCTCACCTACGCCACGTACACCCGGTATTCGCTTCGCGGACCAGCCCAGAGTACCGACAAAGGACGAGCGTGCCGCCGAGGATGCGCGCGTAAAGGAGGAAGACCAGAAGGAGAAGGACGGAAAGAAGAAGAGTGGGCTCAGCAAGCTCATTGGACGAAAATAAGATGTTGACATTATCATATTTCTTTGGATCGAATGTTTAATTGGGGGGTTGATGGATTTGTGCTTGCATAGCGCCGCGGGGGTTTAGATGAGCTGTTCTAGACGACATAAATGAGCCGCGATGTTGATATGGAGTCGACGTAACACATCCGTCTGAGAGACGTAGTATGTCTCGAAATAAAACGCATTTACCCTTGTAATTCCAGGATCAAAAGTCTATTATGAGTGCGTGTGTTGGGATACTATGTTACCAACCCAATGTCGTGCATCTGTGATATGTTTCTCAGTCGAGTTCTCACGCTTCATCACAGTCGCAGTTCAGGATAAATCATCACTAATCATCATGATAGGGCCCACAATGCTCGTATTCATTTTCGTTCAGACTCACGCGTGATGCGGGGCGCTGCCTGTAAGCGGCAGCAGCTGAAGTGGCTGGCCTCGGCGACCCAGGCCTAGATCTGGAAGAAATCTTATCAGATTGATAAGATGATCTGATTAGCGCTGGTGGGCTCAATGATCGTTCCACTCGCGATGCAGCGGCTACAATATCGTGCCTTGATGGTACATGTTTACGGACGCGACTCCGAGCTCGCTCTGGCCCTAGGCTCTGTTCGCGCGACTGCACATCTGGTTCGCGCCAATCAAAAGCTGCATCCTCCGTCGTCTACAATCGTTTTGGCTAGCCAGTTGCCATGAGCAAAAGATGCAGAGCAGAGCGTGATGAGAAAATACTAGAGTGTGGTCAACGTACCGGGCTTCTTCTGTCCCGATCACGGAGACAGCTCCCACTCGGGTCCCGGCGAGAATTGACGTATAGCGACCATAGTTGTGCCTCAAACGAAGGGCACAGCTTCCCCTTCTCCAGGCCTACAAGTGCTCCAAGTCTGATCCAGACGACGTCGACATGGGTTCTATTCAACAGCATGAGATCGCAACACTCAACAGCCTCGCGGCTCAAATCAGCGAGCTAGCTGCTAAGATGACGAAGCAGCTGGAGGCGGAGAACGTGACACCGATCACTCTCGAGGCCGACAGTCCAATCAAGTACGAGAAACTTCCTGGAGACGTCTTCATGACCCGACAACTCCTCGAGGATGCGTTGAAGGATATGTGGATTCTGAGCCAAGGACCGAGCGAGAGTGTGTTCAACTATGTGCACATGGCCGTCCCAGACACGGCGTGCTTGAACATCCTAAACCAGTTCGACTTCTGGGGCGCAGTACCGGTGGATGGTGAGGCGACGTTTGAAGAGATATCGAGGCACACCAAGCTCCCTCTTGAGGTTGTGAGCCGTGTCATCGATCATGCGGTTACGATGCGTTTCTTCGCCAAAGATTCACCTGCAGCAACCACAGTCAGGCACACTTCGCGATCTGCTGCACTGGCTAAGGACCCTGGTTTGTCTGCGCTGGTGCAGACGGTGTTGGACGAAACGGGTCCGCCTATGCTCTTGCTCCCTGAGGCTCTGCGTCGCTTTTCGCAAGGGAAGGCAGAACCGAGTAAAGACATTAAGGAGACCGCTTTCAGACTCTGTCACTCTGGCGGTGCGTGGGGTGACTATGATAACAGCTGGGACTTCATTGAGAACGATGGCGAAGGTGAGAAGAAGGGATGGCGACAGAGGAACTTTGTCAAGTTCATGGCGTACATCAAGGATCTCTTCCACACCGAGAACATCATACTCAATGCTGTTGACTGGGAGGCTGCCGGTGAAGCCACAGTTGTTGACGTGAGTATACTTATCTCAGCGTCATTCCAGTTACTAAGAACGACCAGATCGCCGGTTCCGCAGGCCACGACGACGCCGTCCTCGCAGCCAAATTCCCCAAGCTCAAAATCGTCGTCGAAGATCTTCCAGAAGTCGCTCCAGTATTCGGAAAAGAATTCCCATCCGAGCTCAAATCCCGCGTCTCCTTCCGCACACACAACATGTTCGATCCACAGCCTGTAGAAGCAGACATCTACATCCTCAAATGGATTCTCCACGACTGGCCAGACGTCGAATCAGTTAAAATATTGCAAGCGCTACGCCCTGCACTTAGATCTGGTGCGCGCGTCATCTTCATCGATTACGTAGGCAAGCAGGGACCGAGCGAGGAGGAATTGCCGAGGAGTATACAGGGCTTTGGTACGGCTACTGATCTTAGGATGATGGCGCTGTTCAATGCGAAGGAGAGGCCGGTGGACGCGTGGAAGGATGTCTTTAGGCAGGCGGATGAGAGGTTTGATGTGGTTAGAGTAGAGGCAGACCCGTTGAGCTTCATGTGCGTGCTGGAAGCGGTTTGGCGTGGCTAGGAGTGACTCTTCAAGCCGTGTATTCTAGCGATTATTTGGCGGTTATCGGGGAGGCGTTGGCTATAGATAGTGGTATCGAAGTGTGTAGATGTTACGTGACTCCAAATTGGCTCATGTCGTGTTCTTCGCTTTGGGTTCCGAGGTCAGCAATCGGCGGATTGGGAACACGAACCGCTTCGACCCCACTCTTGCGATTCAGCGCGTCGCAACCCAAAGCTCGCGAGTTATGGTAGATATATGCCAATATATATTGATAATCTGCCAAAATTTCCATCCAGCAAGCACGACTTCGCTTTGAAGTATTCTCCCCGTAGCTCAGTTGGTTTAGAGCGTCTGACTGTAATATCTGCTGTTATCAGAAGGTCCCTTGTTCGACTCATGGTGGGGAGACAACTCTTTTTTTGCTGTATCTTTTGCTCTTCCTTTTTATCACTGATTCGTGACGAAACATCCTCCGAAACAAGCAATCTATGTGGGAAGCCCGCGGTGGCTGTAGCTCCGATGTAGCGACGGTTGCGGACAAGGCATCCTGTACTATTACTGCAAGACATCTTCTTACGTGTCGGCAAACCTGACGCTTTGCAGGCTACTTTGCCACACCTGTGTTTTTGACATCTCTAGCAGCCGTCAGATAAATCATTGCGATAGAGGTATTCCCGGCGATAGTGGGGATTTCTAATTGCCAGGCTCGAGGCTGGCCAATTGCTGGTGCTTTTGCTGGCCTTCTAGCCTTGACCATCAGTATTGACATCGCGAAAGGACCCCTTCCAATTCCACGAAAGACGGTATGACTCAACTAGACGTCCACAAGATACTCGGTGGGATCCCACTGTGTTGGGTATAGATATGCTCGCCAAAAGTAAGTACGGCGAGGTCATTCCGGTCCGACTAGTCCTCCAGCAACTCTACTACATCATCAGTTCTATTCATCTCTGTCGGTGCATTCGTCCTACTTGCTTGCTATGGCATCTCCGCTCTCTACCGTCGCCTTCTGCATATCTTTCCTCATTGGTGTGCAAATTGCACGGGCGCAAACTCCGAAACTCTTGTCAATACCTATCAAGCATATGGACAATGCCGGTTCATTCGTTCCTCTCATCTCGATAGGAGTCGGTACGCCGCCGCAGTCGATAACAGCAGTTTTGGATACGGGAAGCAGCGATCTCATCATTCCAAGGACTGGCAGTCGTATATGCCAGGACCAGCAACAACAATGCTCCGGCACTCCTTTCGTCACTGGCTCCTTCGACACGGACAAGGACAGCAGTCTGAAAGACGTTGACATTGAACTAAACACCGATTTCGCTAACGGTGCTGCGTTCCGAGGGCGATTCATTTCTACCGCATTGACACTCGGGAAACAGACCATATCTAATGCGCAGCTGGGAGTTATCGAACAAGGTTCCCTACCAGCCGACACTCCACTTTTCCCCATCTTAGGTATCGGACCTGTTGAGAATGAAGTCGTCCGGCCGACTTATCAGAACGCGCCTGCCAAACTCAAAGAAGCTGGTGCGAGCGACGCCAATGTGTATGGTGTTTACATGAATGACTTCCGTGAGTCGCGGCATCTACATTACCGTATATCCCACTGACAAAAGTTTCGACAGGTAACCCCGAAGGCTCCATTGTGTTTGGTGGCGTTGACACGGCTAAGTTCCAAGGTCAGCTCCAAGATGCAGGTTCGTTCTTGTTGAACAACAATGGAGTTGCATCGAAATTTGTTATCAACTGGAGCTCCATGCAGCTAGTGGGCGGCGACTCATCTCTCTCCGGCTCGAATGTCGACTTGGCACCACGAGGCGGTCTACCTCCAGTGTTAATCGATACCGGAAACCCGGCCCTGAATGTCCCCTCGACCTCACTGCGCGCCCTAGCTATGGCTGTAGGTACGACCTTCGATGAGCAGGCTGGTCGACTTGGTAGTGTGTCATGCGATCTAGGCTCTCGCGGAGAAAGCCTTTCATTCGGCTTCAACAATAACCGAGCGAAAGTCAGCACCCCTCTGGCCGCCATGCTGGTACGCGACTCGTCCCCAAGCGGCGCTCAGTGCTATCTACCGATTTTTCCTTCGGATGGAGACGATTTCGCGAGCCTGGGTGCCCCATTCATGCAAGGAGCGTACATTGTCTTCGACCTGGACCAGAAGAGGATGTTGATGGCAGAGGCGAAGATAAATGCCACTGGCTCGAATCTACAAACTTTGTAAGTATCGAGGTAGCTTGTGTGAAAAGTAATACCGAACACATGTATTGTTTCTGCAACAGCTCGTGTCGCATTTATCGTGCAAAGGAGTATACATGACTCTGTTAAGCATTCATTTTTGAAGATTTTCTGATGTGTATGCAGCAAGATGCGACACGAATTCTGACCAGGCTTCATGAAGGTCAAATGCGGATACCCGCGGACGTTGTTAATGTACATCATAGAAGTTGCTGGTATTTGAAAACGTCGAGATGAGTAATAACCTCGTCGTGAAGCTGTTCTTCAACCGTGACAGTTAGAAAGCCACGTTTGGAGCTTACCAACTGCCCCTTCGCCCAGCTGCTGAGAGCAAGCAGGCGATTCCACGTGCATGAACATACTCGATAATTTCGGGAAATTGGTGCCGCAAGTAGGACAACAGAAGACAAGAGTGCTACCACCTTGCTCACGGAATATTCGCAGCAAGTCGATGCCCTGCTTGATGGCCTCTCGATCTTCCTTGTGCATGAAGAATTTTCCTCCTTGGAAGCATCTCGCGGTGGTGAGCGCCAAGTCGTATGCATCAATACCGGAAGAACAGGCACCAGACTCAAGGTGGATGATCATTCCTCCGTAGGTGGTGAAATTGCGTGTGCAAGCGAGGCACTCGTAGGCAGGTTTGCGGTGCGTCAGTTCGTGCTGTAATTCGCAATTAGCCTTGGTTGCATCCCGATAGCTGGTCTTGACTTACATGTATTAGGTTCGAGGGTGTGTCGAAGTGCCGCTCGCATGCCTTGCAAACGTTGAATGCTGCAACATGCTGTTGAAAAGTCCAAGCAGTCCTCCAAATTCCATCGCACCCGTCACAAACGTAAGCACAACCGCGTTTACGGAAATGATACTTCAGCTCTGTCCAGTTGGAAAACTCGTGGTAACATTCTTGACAGAAGTTGTGTGTAATCGATTCATGTAGTTTTAACTCTTCCGATGAAAGGAATACAGAGCCGCATTGGGGACATTCGACCCGTAGGCTTGACACAACTTGTCAGCTCGCGATGTGGTATATTTTGACATAGGGTTGGAATCTCTCATACCTGACGAAACCCGTGAGCATGTACATGGTGTAGGCTGCGAAGGTGCTACGGCGGAAGAAGGAGAGATGACGCCCCTATTGGCTGGCAGTGAAGCAACGAACGCGACGTTGCCGGTGAGGAGGTAGGCCCGTGGAAGTAACGTCAGCAATACCGATGCACTATGCCGAAGCAGGTGTTGTTTCGCGATGTAACTCCCTGGGTAAACGCGTGTGTATTGACAGCGAGAGTTGCTTGTCCACCCGCAGGTGCGACTACCGCGGTGCGGAGCAGGACACCACGTTGCAGCGATGAGGTTCATCAGGGCTCGAGTGCGAAGACCACGAGTAGGCCCGTGAAGTGTTCTCGTCTGCCCGCACCTCCGCACATGGGCAGTCCGGAAGCCGCAATTTGCTCTAGACCCAGTTCAGCTAGCATCAATCATCCCTTCCAGATTGCTCAAGGACTCCCGGCTTCAGTCTGTAAATCCTTCATCACGCAATTATGGCAACCAGACAATCGTTCGCACAATATTCGTGGATGGACAGAACTTATTCCCAACGCTATCGCGATAGTGTGAGTAATCGAGTTTGACGTAACGAAGTTCGGACCGTCGCCGAAGAACCGGCCGTTGTGGCCTGTGCAAGCCGTATAATCAGCAAATCTCGACGAAGATACAGGCGATTGTGAAGAAAGATAGGTCTAGCCTGGAAACACGATGACTCTAAGCTGCGAATGTTTGTATAAGTGAAGTGTGATTTCCTCTTCTCTAGTTTCATCCTCTCATTGTCAATCACTCTTGGTCTCTTTCAGCTCCAACCCTTCATTCAAACATCATCAGAATGTCAACACCATGCGCGATACAACGTGAGGCTCGTCTCAGACCAGGCGAAACGTGCCGAAGCAAGGAACAATTTGCAGATGCTCAAGTACTGCCCAAGTGGCTGATACCTGCCGACCGTCGGGGCTGGCGACGCGTTGTCCAGAACTTCACTCCGTCATGGGTACGAGAACCTCTCCGCAATTTCAGCGGAATACAGAACTGACCAATCCCTAGTTCGCTGTCACGATGGGTACAGGCATCGTCGCGATCTTGCTCAATGCCTTCTCTGAGCTCTACCCTCGTTACCATGGCTCGCTGAGAACCCTCAGTATCGCTTTCTTCATCTTAAACGTACTCATATTCTCCATCATACTCTTAATATCCATCCTGAGATATACACTCTACCCCGCCACATGGACACTAATGCTCCGACATCCGGTGCAATCGCTCTTTCTCGGCACGATACCTATGGGATTGGCTACCATCGTCAGTATGTTCGCTACGATCTGCGTACCAGCTTGGGGTGGCTCGACGGCGTATATCGTTTGGGGAATGTGGTGGGTCGATGTTGCATTGAGCGTGGCCTGTTGTCTCTGGCTACCTTTCCAAATGTAAGTTGATCCATGCTTGCTTTCGGTCGTAACAGTCTGGCACTATGTATTCAGAGTGACAAACACGAAGTAACATCGCCTGCTGACATCACAGCAGGATGACGGAACACCACAATCGCCACGAGACAATGACAGCAGCCTGGCTTTTACCAATCGTAGCCTGTATTGTTGCAGCAGCTTCCGGTGGTGTTGTCGCGTCAGTGCTACCTGAGCCAAACCACGCCCTCATTACCATAGTCACCAGCTATGTGCTGTGGGGTATGGGCGTGCCACTAGCACTCGTGGTTATGGTGATGTACTTCCACCGTCTTGCCATCCATAATCTCCCATCTCAGGAAGTGATCGTCAGTGTCTTCCTGCCTCTTGGACCTATGGGACAGGGCGGATACGCTGCGTTGAAACTCGGAATGCAGGCTTCAAAGACCTTTCCAGAGACGAACACGTTGCATCCAATGGCCGGCGAAGTTCTCTACGTACTAGGCTGGATGACCGCCATTACGCTATGGGGGTTTGGATTGGTATGGCTATTCTTCGCAGTCGCGTCAATCAGTCGGAGCAAGTTCCCTTTCAATATGGGTTGGTGGGGGTTCACTTTTCCCATTGGCGTCTTTACAATGTCTACCATCACCATCGGACAGGAACTGCCATCCGCATTCTTCAGGATTCTGGGTACGGTACTTGGTGCCAGTGTCATACTTCTGTGGCTACTAGTCGCTGTCGGTACTGTGAAGAACATGGTGTATGGCAATATGTTCCAAGCGCCATGCTTGCGCGAGATGGAGAAGCAAGCATGTGCAGCGTCTGCTGGAATGCAACAGCAGGACGTGTGAAGGTGTCTAATGCAAGAAGTCAGTATATCCTAATACATATCTATGAGGCCAGGGATCATAAAGCAGCTAGCAGCCTGAAAGACTAGAACATGCAGGCGAACCATCGCCAATCTGAAAACATCCAGAAGTATTGTGGTGTGAAACAGCAAGGGTTCTTTCCTTATATGTGTGCCAGAGAGTGACTGCCGTAGCTACCCATGGTACGCATAGGATTTGGCAAGCGTTGGACGGGTACCAGTACTGCTACGATCTAGGTGTACCTGACGGACATGTAGGTTTACTTATCGCGCGCACTGACGAAGGACCGATATGGAGACTTCTTGGCGTTTTGGTGGCGCGAATGAGGCTGCAGCAGGCTCCAGTCGGACGCGTAACAACGCCAGTCTCACCCTGGAGATGCGAAGAGTAGCACAAAGCGAGCCTGATTGGCCCGCATGGGGCCTTTCCGAGGGAGGCGGGAAGCAATTGACGGTGAAAGGGACACAGTGTTTCCAGTAGGCCGGCTTGTCTAAGCGTTTCCAGCAACTTCCAATGTTGCGGCGGCGGAAGGAGCACGGACCCTAAGGCAACATCAAGCTAGCTCGAGCAGTGAGATCACCGACACTGTTCAAGCTCCAACTTACTTAAACCACCACGCCCCAAACACCAAAGACCCATCACCTCCATCTTACCCCCCACCCCACCCACAACCCATTACACCGCGCTGCAAATCCCGGCGTCCCTCTTTGCACCGGAAAAGTACAGTCGCAGCATTCCATAGAGACACATCAGCAAGATGTCCGCTGAACCAGACCACTCCAAGCCGAAGGTGGATCTTTCCAAGTACGTGCATTGCCACCAGCCACATGTCTGCAACCGCGACTAACAGAACTCCAGGAACCCCGATGGCGCTGAGCCCAAGGATGTAGGCACTGCCAAACACCCGTCTGAGACCGCCTTTACTGATCCGCCACAGAATGACGAGACCGCAACTGCCATCCTCAAGAAGAAGAAGAAGCCAAACTCGCTGATGTAAGTACGCCACGAGGCGACACAAAGAAGCCGTACTGACTCCGCAGTGTCACCGACGCCGTCAACGATGACAACTCGATTATCGCCCTCTCAAACAACACCATGGAGACGCTCCAGCTCTTCCGTGGTGACACAGTCCTTGTCAAGGGCAAGAAGCGGAAGGACACTGTTCTTATCGTGCTCGCCGATGACGACCTTGACGATGGCTCTGCGCGGATAAACCGTGTCGTTCGCCACAACCTGCGTGTCAAGCACGGTGATGTTATCACCATCCACCCGTGCCCTGACATCAAATACGTACGTAGCTACATCTCTGAAATTCTGATACAAAGCTAACTCCATTGCAGGCCAAGCGCATTGCAGTCCTCCCCATCGCCGACACTGTCGAGGGTATCACCGGTTCGCTGTTCGACGTTTTCCTCGCCCCATACTTCCGCGAAGCCTACCGACCGGTTCGTCAAGGCGACACATTCACAGCCCGCGGCGGTATGCGACAAGTGGAGTTCAAGGTCGTCGAGGTCGACCCACCAGAGTTCGGTATCGTCGCACAAGATACGGTCATCCACTGCGAGGGCGAGCCCATCCAGCGCGAGGACGAGGAGGGTAACCTCAACGAGGTTGGCTACGACGACATTGGTGGCTGCCGAAAGCAGATGGCGCAGATCCGAGAGTTGGTCGAGTTGCCACTGAGGCATCCTCAGCTCTTCAAGTCCATCGGTATCAAGCCTCCGCGTGGTATCCTGATGTACGGTCCTCCCGGTACCGGTAAGACATTGATGGCTCGTGCTGTCGCCAACGAGACTGGTGCGTTCTTCTTCCTGATCAACGGTCCCGAGATCATGTCCAAGATGGCCGGAGAGTCAGAGTCAAATCTGCGCAAGGCGTTCGAGGAGGCCGAGAAGAATTCCCCCGCGATCATCTTCATTGATGAAATCGACTCCATCGCGCCCAAGCGTGAGAAGACTAACGGTGAAGTCGAGCGCCGTGTCGTCTCGCAACTGCTCACCCTCATGGACGGTATGAAGGCTCGCTCGAACGTCGTTGTCATGGCCGCCACCAACCGACCCAACTCGATCGACCCCGCTCTCCGTCGTTTCGGACGTTTCGATCGTGAAGTCGACATTGGTATTCCCGACCCTACCGGCCGTCTCGAGATCATGCAGATCCACACCAAGAACATGAAGCTCGGTGACGACGTCGACCTACAGACCATCGCTGCTGAGACTCACGGTTACGTTGGTTCGGATTTGGCATCGCTTTGCTCTGAGGCTGCCATGCAGCAAATTCGTGAGAAGATGGACCTCATCGATCTGGACGAGGACACCATTGACGCTGAGGTTCTCGACTCGCTGGGCGTGACCATGGAGAACTTCCGTTTCGCTCTTGGCGTATCCAACCCATCAGCCCTTCGCGAGGTCGCTGTTGTCGAGGTTCCCAACGTTCGGTGGGAGGACATTGGTGGTCTGGAGGAAGTCAAGCGCGAGCTCATTGAGTCCGTGCAGTACCCAGTCGACCACCCCGACAAGTTCCTCAAGTTCGGTATGTCTCCATCGCGAGGTGTACTGTTCTACGGTCCTCCTGGTACTGGTAAGACGCTTCTTGCCAAGGCTGTTGCCAACGAGTGCGCCGCCAACTTCATCTCCATCAAGGGTCCCGAGCTGCTCTCCATGTGGTTCGGTGAGTCTGAGAGCAACATCCGTGACATCTTCGACAAGGCGCGTGCCGCTGCACCTTGCGTCGTCTTCCTGGACGAGTTGGACTCTATCGCCAAGTCGCGTGGTGGATCTCAAGGCGATGCCGGTGGTGCATCTGACCGTGTCGTCAACCAGCTCCTTACCGAGATGGACGGTATGACATCGAAGAAGAACGTCTTCGTTATCGGTGCCACCAACCGACCGGAACAGCTCGACAATGCTTTGTGCCGTCCTGGTCGTCTTGACACTCTCGTCTACGTTCCTCTGCCCGATCTGGCGTCGCGTGCCAGCATCATCAAGGCTCAGCTTCGCAAGACCCCTGTCGCCGAGGATGTCAACATCGACTTCATCGCCCAGAACACCCACGGATTCTCCGGTGCCGATCTTGGATTCGTCACCCAGCGTGCGGTCAAGCTCGCCATTAAGCAGTCTATTGCGATTGACATCGAGCGCCGCAAGGCTCGCGAGGCTGCTGGTGAGGATGTCGACATGGAGGTAGACGAGGAGGACCCAGTACCTGTGCTGACCAAGGCTCACTTCGAGGAGGCCATGCGCTCCGCTCGTCGCTCCGTCACCGATGTTGAGATCCGCCGGTACGAGGCCTTCGCACAGTCAATGAAGAACTCTGGTGGATCAAGCTTCTTCCGCTTCCCCGATGCTGAGAACGCAGCGGGTGGTGGTGAGCAGAACACGTTCGGCGCTGGTGGTGAGGACGAGGACCTGTACAACTAGACAGTTGCAGGACCATGACGGATGGGTTTCCCTTTTTCATCATCACACGGCATGAGGGGCGATTGACGTCTCATAGATAGATGGAGGCGCGCGTAATTGCTAGCGCTTTGACAGGATATCAGTAGTATCTTTCACGAACCAATGGCCTCAATGAGAATGCATGTTATCAATGAACTTTTGCTGCGCCTACTATGTCCTTGTATTGATCTGTGTTACTACCTCTGACCTGACTCCCTTTTCCATCACCGTGCACTTTTTACACCAATCGTCCATACTCAACGAACGGCCGAGCCTCCAACATGGTTGATTCAACGCTGCCCACTTGGCGCAGCGGTCATGAGGCAAGGTTTCATGGGCACAAGCGAGGTCTCTGATCACCCGAGACAGCGGCCGGAACCCATCGGTGCCGTTGAACGATGTCGCCCGCCCCACATTGCAACGGTGTCGGCTGTGCGCTCGATAGTATCGTTCGTTAAGGCCATTGCTTTGCAGACTTCCCCTTCAACTACACTGACTCGGGCGACACGAGCCTGCATTTTGCTGTGGCATGGAAGGTGGACTCTTTCTCAGATTGCAGGAGGGGCGATCACTTGTCGTCTTCGTATGTGATGTCGCACACCTTCTCCAACTCCTTCATGACTGTCTTTGCACCGGCGTCGATTGCCGATTTAGGAATCTTCAAGTTGACTTCCTCTCCATTTTCTCCATCCCCATTCGTCGTTCCGTTGGTACCGTTTACGCCATTGGATTGATCCTCCAAACCACGTGTTTGCTCTCTGATCTTCTGCATCGCCAGATTCCGGGCTTCCTCGCAGGTAGTAGCCTGGCCCGAGCGGAACAGATCGGTAATGTAGGCTCTTAGATCGTCTTTGAACCCAGAGGCCCGCAGGGATTCGTCTAGGGTGGATTCAATATTGCGGATGCCATCGCCAGAAAGAAGGGCCGAGTAAATGTTGTTCCGCAGGTCTTGGGAGATGCCGGACTGGGCCTGAGTCGTAGTTACATTGATGGATTGAGACATTGTTCCGAGCTCGTGAGTCGTCAGGTGTGAGATTGTAGTGGAAAAGGAAAAAAGGAGGAGGTTCGTCTAAAGTTGTCAATACCGGGCGAGCTACCTTATAGCGAAGTAGTGGGTGATCCTGTTCGCGTAGACGACGGGGAGCTGGGCGCACGTGGGATTGTGCTCTGAAGCTCGGAGGTAGCCAGATGTCGTAATATGGGATGCAGCGTCTTAAACGACTGGCTGGGGTAGCCGTATTCGGGCAGATGCCGGCAGAGATGGCCCTAGTTCAACGTTGGCGGTGAAGATCGTTAGACGCATGTGCGTGGTTTACCGGGTGCCGTTGCGGGCTCGTGATGCGAACGATAACTTGCAAGATTGCACTTGCCGGATCCGAAAGCGAGCAGGTGCAGCGTGGGCGATGGGGGGAGAGGAGGGGAGATGCCGGGAGCGGCGCCGCGAGAGGGGGCGGCTAGGAGCCTGAAGCAAGAGGGTTCATGTGCAAAGCCGCCCGACGTGGATGGGCAGGCGGTGGTGAGAGCTGAGTGTTTGGTACCTGCATC